ATAATTCCTTCGTTTCAGCACCTTGGAGTTGCCTACTATTTGAACTAAATTATTGGCCTCCAATGTGTTATTAATGAGTGAGCATACAAACCACAAAAACATCACAGAGGATATAAACTCATACCTCTGTTTGCAATATTACAGGTAGTCAAGGAACTGAGCAAAAAGTGTTACAAATTTGGTATGATAAAGATGACTCTCTAGATTTGATGAGGCAAATCAGCAGAGTGATGATAGAGACACTATTGTGCCAAAGCATATAAAGAGACACTTAGGGCTGTAGCCTGGCACTTTCCATGAGCACGATGCTCGCTGCCTTGGCAGGAGATGACAACATGCTTAACACAGAGTGCAAACTCTGTTGTTCACTCTTGCCATAAGGTTCCCTTGCACAGCCAAAGCAGTGAAAGGAGTCTTCAGTAAATGAGTAACAAGTCCAAAAGGCTATCTTCAAACAGGTTTTTTAAATTGTGAGCACAAAAAGAATATGTGTTCAGTTACTATAATTATGCTCATGTAAGCATAACTGTGCTGCCCAACACCCATTAGATACCCAGAAAAACAGGCAAATATTAGACACCAATACTTGAAGAGGAATATGATGAGCAAAGCAATTATTTAACAATTATGCATGCGTATCTAAAAATCTGAGCAACTATTTTAGGAATCTGCACATGACTGAATGCAAACAAAACTGTGTACAGAAAAACTAGAAGCCATACTGAAAAACACTAAAACTCTTTAAAAGCTTTTCCTAGTGCTTATCCCTACCAGTTAATAAAAAACACACAATAATTCGAAAAAGTGTAAGAAACATAAGAGTGTAAAAACTCAGAGAGATAATATTCAATATCTGGAAAGTCTGACAGCCTTCAAGAGCCTTTTTATACAAAGAGCACTAACTTAACAAGTATAAGATGTAAAAAGTGGAAGGGTTTTTTTGAGTAGCTTGTGCCAGATTCATGGCCTTTTTATACAAAGAGCCAGGTGTGCAACTTCACTAATATCTAAGCCTATTTTGTATTTACATTTTTCAATGGAGCACAGCATAATTATGCATTCTGCACAAGACAACTGCATTGACTGAAGAAGTTAAGACTGAAAATTGCTGAAACACGGACATCTAGTGGAGACATCTGATTATTACAGTTTTTTTCCTAATAGAAACAAAAAAAAATGAAATGGACTTTTATGGATTATCTTGCTGGAGCCTGGAGCTTTGTCGTTGCCTTTCACTGACTGGTCCGTTGTTCAGTTACCTGAGGTGAAGGTGACACAGTCGAGAACTTGGAGAAGTAAAAGCTCTGCGTCATTTAACAACTTATTAAGTGATTGATGAAGCGCAAAAACTAATGACCCATGAAGGAACAAATGTTTCTCAAACCAAAGATAAACAGATCTGATACTGGTGCTTAAGGGATGGGCAAAAATCAGAGGTCATAAGTGCCTTTAGCTCCCTCTGAAACTGCCAGTTCAGACCTTTTGCATTAGTTTCTATGGGGAGAAGGAAAGTGATAACTCAGGGTGTTGAACCCTTGATGCAAAGACAATGTTTACATAATTTTCAAATGCATATAGTTCGTAATACAAACTGATAGCTAGTTATGAGGATAAAAAACGACACTACCTGCACTGCAATGACTGCACAGAGCCCTCAAGCCATACACTAATGTTATGGGATGTCAGCTGGATCAAATGTCTCTGTAAGAATTCCTCATCGAAGTGTGTTTAAACTCCACGAATACAAAAGCATTTTCCATGCCTGAAGTAAGTATTTTTAATGTTCTCTTTTCTCATGCTATTCACTTTATTGCGGTCCACCTCGGGATTTCTGACATTATGGGATTTCTTACTGAGTTGATGCTTGGCCAATATTTGTCCAACGTCTCTTTTTTTGTCTCCTGTGAAAACCATCTGAAACTAAGCAGAAACTAACCTTGATTTATTTCTTTAATAAACAAAATGAAGATACCATATATTAATAAAAATGAAAAGTATTCCCTAGCTGTTTTTTTTTAAGTTTCCGAAAACAGTCCCATATCTCTGTCAAAGTTAATGCAACCAGAATTTCCATGGGAATTTCTGTCAGTCTGGGGAAACTGGAACTGGCTAATGTAAATAACTTCAGCCCATCCTCCAACTACTGTTCAAATCACCTTGTGAGAAAGGAATGGGCTTTATTTTAAAGAAAGTGTCATAACATTTCTCTTGTGGACTACAAGAAGCACGGCTTAAGAAAACTTTACAGAAACATTCTGTGGAAACCACAGAAAGAAATGAACCTAACGACAAATCCTGACTTCAATTCCATGGGATTTTATGCAAAACTTTTATTTCTTTTGTATGAAATCCAAAATTAACTAAAGACACTACTAGAATAGGTTATTTGTTTATAACCTTATGACTAACTTCCTTGAGAAGATACAAGAAAATGCTACATAGGCAAATAGTTTTACAGGCTTGCATTTCTGTTTCTTTTAATAAGGATAAGAACGTAAAATATGTACTTAAAGAGTACCTGGCCTGTATGTTTTGGCTCAGAGAGAACTGGGAATTAACCTCCCAAGTCCTTATAGAAGTCACCAAACATCCAGAAAACAACCACTTTTGATAACCAAACTCCTTAGCACTTGCCTGCATATGACAACTTAATTTTACTATCGGTGAGGTACAAGTGCCTGGGACTTCTTATTCATCAGATTGTTCCAAACCGCCAAGCTAAATGAAGTGATGAAAGGTAGACTCTTTGCAGCATAAAAAATACATAATATTAGCTGCTAAATATTAGTTAATATTAAATATTGGTTAATACAACATTAAATGAGCTCTCACTGTATTAACAGAACGTATTTCATCTGTATGATTCCAGATGAACTTTGATATGACTGTTATTGGGGAAGGACACCATAAACTGCAGAAAGGCTGAGGGTACCTGACTGCAAACACTAAACCATGCAGATTAGGAAAGATCTTACTACATACATGGTCACAGAAAGAGTTTAATAAGCATGATATTGACAGCATGTCCTTCCACTGTAACTATTTTTCAGTTGTACTCCTCAACCACTGACTGTTGAGAGGTGGTTGAAGAAATTCTACGACCACATAGAGCAGGAGATAGCAACTTCTTCCACGAAACAAATATTGTTAGTACAAAGGGACTACTGTGTATGAACTGGCATGAGCGTCCCCAAAATGGGACAATTTTGTAGGAAATTCTGAGTATTACAATGTGAATAACAAGACATCGGGAGTCAGACAATGTACAACTGAAAATGACACAGGAAAGGCAATTGTATTAAAGTTTAAGGCAACGTATTTCTAGAACTGAAGGGTTACAAATGGTTTTTCTCATCATGGTTTGGAGAAAGGGTCATATCAGCCTTTTCAGAAGCCTGATATTGGTTTGGACCTTAATTCAAGAGAATAATTCAGATCAACAGAATAACTGAGTATGAGGAAATGGTAAGCAATAGAGTACTCTTTGCATTAGAAGCAATGATAAGCAACACACAAAAATGAAATAGTGTATTCTCAAAGACATTCAGAAATTGAAAGACTGTTAAATGGAAATCCAAAAGATGATTTAACAAAAGCTGGAGGCTTTCAGCCTCTCTAGAGCAGTATAGTTTTGTATTTTCTGCTGAACTGCAGAGAAATCAAATAAGCTCCTGGAATGAGGAATCCTGAAGACTCCCATAAAAGGGATCTTAAGACCTTTTAGGGCAGTCTCTTGTCTCAAGGCTGGATCAACTTTATCTGAACTGTTCTTGGAAGATGTTTGCCCAACTTGCTCTTAAAAATTTCCAATAAGGGGCCTAACACAACCTTTCTAGGTAAAGCCAGTTCTGATCTATCTTCATAGGTACAAAGTTGTTTCTTGTCTAACTTCAATCTCTCTTGTTGCCATTTAACCTCCTTGTTCCTACTATTATTTTGTAGTGGTCACGCAGAACAATGCATTTTGTCCCTCTTTGCAACGGTCTATTTTATCACTTCTACCTTTTCTAGCCTGAAAAAGTAGAGTTCTAGCCTGAGTTAGTTCAGTCTTTCCTCATAGATCACCCCTGTCACTCTTCTTGATTCTTTCCAATTGCTCTACATTTATCTTGAACTGTTCTTATAACTGGACCTATTACTTCAGTTGAGGTCCTCTCAGTGATGCACAGAACTGACGAATTGCTTCATATATCTTACACATGGCACTCCTGTATATAAATTCTAGCATGATACCTTTTTTCAATTTGTTGACTCGGTCCCAATTTGTGATTCACTATAATCTTAAGGGTTTGTTTTTCAGAGCAATTGCCTGGTCATCTAGCTGCTGTTTAGCCTTTTGCTGTCTCACTATAAAAGGGAAATCCAGATATTTGTGAAAATGTCTGTACAACTATTGATACATTCAAAAAAAAAATACTGCCATGACTCAAAGAGAATTTGACCTTCAGATAGCAAAATTTCTGGTTGAAGAACAATCTGGGCTTATAATCAGAAAACAAATGGGAGCAGCTATGTAGTCTGCATATTTGTTTGAAGAAATATGAGTGTGATTCAATTAATTGACTGAATGGGGAATGCTGCGGTTTCCATCTCAAGGCTGTATGAAGATAATGAGATGTGGAGGAAGGCAACTGACCTATAGCTTTTTTATGTTGTGTCTACCTCTCATTGTAATGTACATCTCATTGCAGTATGTCTGCACAGCAAGAAAATATAGACATATCTATCCTAGATAAATTCTACTTTCATTTAAAGCAACTTGATTTGGCAAATCTACATGGAATTTTGAAATGAAGTGGCATATTTGATATTTGCTTATTTTCATGTTGTTACCTAGAATGCTTTAACTCACAGCTATTTTAATAGCAGAGCTCTAAGAATGAACCTGAAGTTATCAGAGCATTAATGTATACTTTGGTGACAAGAATGGAACAGGGTCCCTGTGGTTTAGCCTCAACACCTGGTAAATGAACTAACGTTCAAAACAAATTAACACTCACCAGACGGTACATGAAGTAGACCTCTGTAGGAAATAACTGTAAGAATACCAGCTTAGTATTCCCATGTTTTGCTGCTGATTTCCTTTGTGACATTGTAATCGTTACATCTCCCCCTGAGCCTCACAATTCTGTCTGTAAAACAGAAATAACAGAAACTCACTACCTCATAAGGGTGACGTAGTCTTACCATTTTTCATAGGTGAATTCACTGATCTATTGATAACCAGCCAATATAAAAATGAGACTAATGAAATCTCATCTACTAGGACTACATTTAATAATCAGAGATAATATGCTTGTTTCACACAGAAAATGTAGAAGTTTGAACTTTACGTTCACTGTGTTCCCAGATGTTTCTATTTCATGTTGAAACAAAAGTGTGAGAAATCTGTATGATAAATTCCATTTCTAAATGAGAAAAATAAACCTGTACTTTGAACTCAGATGACCTGGACACTGGTAACAACCAAAGCTTTGCAACTTCTCTGCACAGCCCAGATTTTTTGATTACTCCAGAAATGTGATGTGATTTTTGCATGAGTTCATTTTTCACCTGAGAGCCTAGCATCAAGTGAGAACGGAAAGGAGGCCTTCTGAGATTAAAATACACCGGAGAGCATATAGCCTGCTAAAGTAAAGGGAAATTATCCATAATGATAATAAATTATTGAGCTAGTCGATCCTCCTGGAACTAAAATTTCTTCATCCTCTTTTTTTAGTGGACCCTCACAATATAACCTCAAAATAAGAAAAAGATTTCTCAGTCGTAGTTGCATTTGTCATTATGATTTTGATTAACAAGGCCTAAACCGGCAACAGCTCACTGTTTATCACAACAGAAAAAGGGATGTCTGCTCTCACTTACTAGTGAGAATGCTTTTCATCTTATTCAGGTAAGATGCTTTTTTTTTTTTTTTAATTATACTACCTTTTTGCCCTGAATTCAACTCTGGTAATAAGCTGCACAATCACAATCTCTGTTAAAGTTGTGTAAGTAGTATTGCATTATCCTAAGTAGTCACGAGTCACTGCAATGTTAAGGGTTTGTTACTCAGCCAAAAACAATTGCTTCAAGCTGAAAATGGTATCTTTCCCTCACCTCCCACGGCTGTAAAATTTCACCCACCCAGGTATCTCAAATGTCCCTCACTATGCAGCTCATCATTCGTTCCAGAATGGGTGTTCCATTCAAAAACGTCATTTCCTCTTCCTTTTATTGTTTTTAAATTGCCAGCACAGGACGGTTTGCGGGCTGCAGCCGTTACCGCAGTATCAAGGCTGGCAGCAGCTACAAACCCAGAGCTGTGGGGCAGAGGAGCCTGGGAACGCCCCCGCAGGGCCCAGGCCTTCCCTTTCTCACAGGGAACCTACTTCTGAGTCTCTCACGGGAGGTCTCTGCGCCAGGCCGGGGGCCCTGCGGGCCCTGAGGAACACCTCCCGCCCCCACGGCCGCGCGCCTCGGGGCAGAGGCCCGCAGCCCCCTCACAGCGCCGA